GAGTATGTTTTTAGCCACTGTTTTAAAAAGCTGATAGATAATTTCTGTGAGAGGTTGCTGATCTGGTACAATATTTAATAGCTCAGCTTTTGGTTTTTACTGTAAGCAGGTAGGAAGAATGATTTTGGCTGTTTGGACAGGTTTCTTCTTCCTCATGTGCAGATGGTAGGTGGGAAGGGGAAACACTTGTTCAGGGTTGTGCTTGCTTAAAAGTTTTGCTGATATTGCAAAATGACACATGGGGAGCTGTTTTTATTGAGATGCTGTAAAAGCTCTTTCACACCCTTTAGAGCAATCCATAGAAAAATAAAATTTAGCATGACTGATGTGGCATGGCTACAGAAGGGGGTTTTCTACCACATTATCCTAGGAGGAAGCCACTTTGGAAGAGCCAGATATACTGCAGTGTTAATGCTCATGTTTCTACCTTCAAGTTTGCAGATAAACTGGTTTTATTACTAGCACTAGCCAGTAGCTTCTAATGGCATTATTACTTGTGATATTAGAGACCTTTCCAAAGATTTGAATGTCAAAGTTCTGCTGATGTATTTTAAAGGCAAAGGTGTCATACAAGATCAGAGTTGGATATGCTTTGTCTCTCTACTCTGACTTGTGTATACTTACTGATAAGTCATCTATGTCTGCTGTGATGCATAAAAGGGAAATTTCTGCTATTTGCTTTACAGTATTAAAACACATTTTTCCTTCTGTTTAATTGGATGCTCTTCATGTCACTGTTGACAGACAATAGCAGCAACAAAAATGTACTAAGGAAAATTGGGGAAGATTGAAGAGGTACAGAGGAGAAATGTGTGTTAGTATGTCAACCTGTAACTCATGAAACGAGAGGCGAAAGAACACACCTAAAATTTGCATTGTCTTCTTTTTCCCTCTGCCCTGTTTAAAATAATAAAGTCTGAGAATGAAAATACTATTGCTACTTTTAAATGCATTTACATTTAACTTTCTACTTGAATTCACTGCTTAGTGGTTGAAAGTTTGTGAAGCCTGAAGTCATGTTTGTGTCTTCTGGTTTGGTTTGGGTTTTTTAAGTTGGACAGTTAACAATCAGTATTGTTTAGGTTCTTGAGAATGACTTCAGAATTACTTGGCTTTTGCAAGAAGTTGTTTATAGTGAGATAATGTTTCCTGAACTAGTCTTGGACTAATGTGTCAAATATTTCTTTTAGTTCTGAACAAGATAAAGAAGAATGGATCAAGGTACGTTCATTTACCTTCTTTATTTTCTAAGCACTTTTTCACTGAAGCAATCAAAAAGTAATATTCATATTTGCTGTGTATACCTTCCCTCTGCTAAATAAAAACTGTACAGAATGCAGAGTCTGTTTTAAATTTAGCATGTTTGAGGAATTTCTCCACTATTTCCTTAGGCACTTCAGAGTACTATAGAAGCTTTTCAGCAGAGGAATGAAACCTTCAGAAATGCCATTGCTAAAGAATATGAAGACATGCCTATTGAAGTTTCTGTAAGATGCTGTTATTTGTTTGTAACCTTCTTAGTACCCATTTTGTTCTTCAATAAGTGGAAAACGTTTGGCAGAAACTTTGTTTTCAAGCTCATCGTTCTTATAGCAGAGTAATTACAAAGTAGTCATCTTGTTGGTAATTGTTTTTCTTCATAATGCTGAATCTTAAAAAGTAGCCTCTTTCTTTCTTGAAGCACATAACAGAGTACCCTTTCAGTGATGCATCATGAGACTTAACTGGGTTCTTTGTTATTTCTTGTATAGATTTCAAAATGCGTCTCGAGCTATGTTTTGCCATTTCCTTTCCAGAGGAAGAGAATAATTATTTTCTCTATTTCAAGCACTATACAACTTTTTTCTAGCTTTTTTTATTCTCTCATCTTCCTCCTTCTCCCTCCCCTCAGAATGCTGAGCTTGGGAAGAGAGCACCAAGGTGGATACGGGACAATGAAGTAACCATGTGCATGAAATGCAAGGAGCCCTTTAATGCCCTGACAAGGAGAAGACATCACTGTCGAGCATGTGGACATGTAAGTGCAAAGCCCCAGTAGCTGTACCTGGTCAGCAGGCTTGGAAACAGCTCTAAACACCCACTTGACTTCTCATGGTTCCTTGTTATCACAGGATCATAGAAAGGCTTGGGTTGGAAGGGACCTTAAATATCATCTAGTTCCACCCCACACCTTTCACTAGACCAGGTTGCTCAGAGCCCCATCCAACCTGGCCTTAAACATTTCCAGGGATGGGACAGCCACAGCTTCTCTGGGCAAACTGTTCTGTTGCTGTGGAGTTTGTTGCAATGCTTGTGGCTGAAAAGAGAAGCTATGTATAGCATACCACAAAAGATCCTCTGTCTCTTTATTTGACATGGTAAATTTGGAAGCAATTTGGAGCAGTAGAAGATGCATGTTTGTGTAAAATGTCCCCAGCCCCTGGATGTACCAATTGTTAGTTTTCAGTGGCCTCCACTAACACGAACCGTTTCAACACCATATTAAGCTGGCATAAGCCACCATTGCTTCAGGCAGCACTGACTGCCACCTCTTTCCATTCTGCTACATCCTCTCTCCTCTTTTTAAGAAGACCATGAAGCCCTGCAGTTTTTCACTGGGTTCACGTGGAGCTGTTCCCAGCCAGGTTCAGTGTGTAACTGTGTGAACATGCACGAAGCATTGGGGAACCCATATTAGGATGGGCAGAGAGTATTACTGCTGTTTTCTGGACCAGATGCTACAGGAACATATCCAACTTTAAATGAACCATCAAATAGTGCTATGACTTTAGAGATTTCAGAAGTTAACAAAAGAAGAGCAAACATTCTGTGCTTTCTTCTCTTGCCATCCAGCAGCTATGCCTTTCTCCAGCAGATGGTAGTACAAGCCCAGGTTTAATATTTGTGTCACTGGTTGTCTTGTGTGATTTCTATGTGGTATGAAGCCTTACTGCTTTCATAACGCTGCTTTTGTGCTTTGCAGAGCACTAGAGACTTTTTCAGAAGCTCTGAATTATTGAATGTGCAGTTTTTGTCTGAGTTTCTTCCCTAGATCATTCTGTCTTAAAACTCCATTAATCCCTTCCTTCCTTAGATTTGCCCTTTTGTTTAGACTTCTCACTACTTCCCTCTGTTGTAGTTCTATCACATCTCCTTGCACTATAATTTTAAAACATGTTTTCATGGGAGTTAATTTGGGTCAGTGACAGTGGCTTTCCAGCAGTGACTAACTAGGAATATTTAAGTAATATTCTCTGGAGCTACTAGCTGAAGTTAGTGATCTGGATGAGTACTGCAAAGCCCTGGTCCACAATAAAATTTTGTTCAAGTGTTTGAGTGGTTCAAGTCCATTTGTCTGCCTTTTCTTTCTTGAAATAACTACACTCATTTATTTATTTATTTATTCTGGGCATCTTTTCTCACGTGAAAGAACAATTCTGTGGGAAAACATGTCTAATGAAAGAATTTCAGTTATATATGTAGTGAAAAGATAATTCAGGGTGATATTGCATTATGTGTTCTTATGAATAGATTCTAAACCTGTAAATTTTTTATAGATATAAATTTTAACCTCTTAATATTAAGAACTTAGACATTTCTGATTTTTATCAGATTTTTTAGCAGTAAAAGTGCATTTCGCTTGTATGTTTCATTCATTCATGTAACCTCATTTCTGAGGTTATGTTGAAGACCAAGTGATAGTTGTACCTTTTGAGTTTGGCATCTAAAGAAACCAGAGGATTTTCTTCATGGCTCATGCTGTATTCTCATTTTATACCTAACTTTAACCTACAGATATCATTGAAAGCTTAATGTGATTTTATGCCAAGTGTAAAATTTCCACCAAGTAAATAGTAATAAGCACTTCTAGTTAAGAAGTAATGGCATAAATTTGGAAAATAATTATTTTCAATTAAGTTATTGTTGGTATGTCATAAAGAAATGCATTATCTTTCTTGTTCTGTATAATTAAACAACACATTACTAAGTAGAATAATGCTGATTTTAAGTAAATTCTATTTTCATAAAGTTTTCTAAACACTTTTTATATGTATGTTATCTCTTTTATTTCTAAGGTGGTTTGTTGGAAATGTTCTGATTACAAGGCACATCTTGAGTATGATGGGAATAAATTGAACAAAGTCTGTAAGGACTGCTACCACGTTATAATTGGTTGTACAGACAGTGAAGAAAAGAAGAAGAAAGGCATCTTGGAGGTATGTCAGTTAAAAATGCTCTGTGTGCAGAGGTGTGATCATTTCAGGTCATCAGTAGGTGAAAAATGGTAACATTCTTCCAGGGCTTATTTTCTGTTTGCGAAATAAAAAGTCTGTGGATCAAATCCATCCTATTCAATAATAGACTGTGGTTTTCTGCATCCACCTTTGCAATACTGCTTTGTTTCTTACAACTTTTTTTAAAGGGGGAATTACAAACCTTAGAGCTTGTTTGATTCCTCAAGTTATATCAGCTCCTGTGATAAAAAAACTACCTTTCCTTATGAATCTTCTTCTTCTGCACTTAAACTTTCAGAGAAACAAAATCCACTGCTACTACAGTGTTTCTTGAAAACATATACCCAAGCTGAAAGAACGGGATGGAAAGAGGAGAATAGGGGAGAGTTTTGCTCTTCAGAGTCTGAGTAGTAAGACACTGTTTTGATCAGTGTACACAGTGTACTTTTAAGTCACTGTCATCAGATTTTAAGCAATTAACCTAATCTTTTCTCTGGGATTTAATTTGCATGCTTATGTTATTCTTAGAGATGTGTTTGAATCTGATCCTGTCATAATATTTTGACTGCCAAAATAGACTAGTTGTTGTATTGGATTGTTAGCAGCATTTCAGTGCCCACAACATGATGTTATTTTGGAAATCAGACATTGCTGTAGATACTAAGGTACAGAGAAGGGCTAGCTGTGGTGGCAAAATGAAATTTACAGTGATCAAGAAGTCTATAATCCAAAATTACTGAGGAAAAAAGGAACAGATTCCACACATTAAGGGAGTACACATTGTGAGCATATGTATTTAATATATAAATGTTCTCCAAAAATCCAGTCTTTCAGGACTTTACTTGGATATTTCCTCAAGCTCTTTTGCAGATGATATCCAAGATTTTATATGAATAGTGATGAATTCTTGCTTTTCTGTTCTTGTATGATTTTAGCCTTTAGTTAAGGCAAGTTTATTTTCCTTTTTATGCTTTATACTATCTCCTAGATTGAATCTGCAGAAGTCTCTGGAAATAGTGTCATATGTAGCTTTCTTCAGTACATGGAAAAATCCAAGCCCTGGCAAAAAGCATGGTGTGTTATACCTAAACAGGAGGCTCTTGTGCTCTACATGTATGGTGCTCCACAGGTATGTGCAGAGAAAATGGAAAAGGTTTTAGTAATTATTGTCACAGACATCTGAGAAGTCAGATTGGGAATGGAGGAAAGATCCATATGTTTCCACCAAGCTGTATAGTAATCGAGAAGTAGTGGGCAAATTAGTTGTCTGTTCTTAATCAAGAACTTATTCTTCTTAGGATGTCAAAGCTCTGGCTACAATTCCCCTTCTGGGCTATGCAGTGGATGATGCTCCGAGAAGTGCTGACCTCCCTCACAGCTTCAAACTGACCCAGTCTAAGTCTGTGCACAGCTTTGCTGCAGACAACGAGGAACTGAAACAGAAATGGCTAAAAGTGATCCACTTAGCTGTCAAAGGTGAGACACCAGAATGTCAAAATGAACTGCAAGTGCATTTAGAAGAGCAACCTGAGCCTTCTAAAACATCTGAATGCTGAAGAACACATGGTATTTTTAAAAGATTTGAATTGAGTTTGTGGTTAACCTTTGTGTTAACCTTTCTTTCCTCAATCAAGGAAAAAACAAAAACAAACTTCTTACTACCATACACATCTTGGCACTTTATGTTTGGGAAAAATTATGGTCTTTTTAGGGATCTTTTTCTTATATTTATGTTCTGTCAATAAAAGTGATGTACAGGTCCATTTCAGAGACGTTTTTAAAAATGTGAATGCTATAAAAAAATACTTACTAACTTTACTGAACTACTTGTTTGTCATGATGTACATTATTTTTTGAAAATCCAGTTGCTCTTCAGTTAGCATTTGCTGCTTTCATTAAGAATGCAAATATTGAAGCTTCCTACTTACATGTTAGGACTTGCAACAGGATCAAAGATATACCTCCACATTGCCAAAATAGATATGTACTTAAATATGCAGGGACAGTTTGGTTTAATGTATGTAGTTTATAGATTAATTTCCACAGATCTGTACATATGTTGTATTCACCTGTCTTTTTTTAATTAAAGTAATGCAAATTGCTTTCGCAGGTATATTGGCTTTTAGGGTTTCAGTTTATCAAGGAAACAATCTAATGATTTCCAATCTAGAAATAAATACCTAAAATATGAGAAAAACTATATATAATATATGTACAGTATTAAAAATGTACAATACTTGATTTTTGCTCTGATTTCATGATATTGGGTTCTTATTAGTGAGTAATTTATTTTAAAGGCATGTTTTCTATATGAAATTAAACACAGTCCTACATTGAAAAATACTGTTCAGTGATTTGTTTTAATAGCTGACACTTAATGATCTTGATATTTTTATGCATCAAAAAAAATGCAGTAATGTAAGTGGCATGTAATGGACAAACGAGTTCTGGTTGTGTTTAAACGAGTAGCTGCTTTTCTTCAGTGTCCTCTTACTGTTAGCTTTTAGGAGTGCAGTAGTTCATTACTCAAATGCAGTGTGTGGTTTGAGAAAGGCAACAGATTCTAGTAACCTTCTGGGAACTTGTATTTTTGCTATCATGGTTATTGGAACAAATGAACATTTTGAGCTTAAGTTTTTATCATTTTTTTGCAGAGGATTATATACTTCAGTGCTTATTTATGACAAAAGTCTTCAAGGATTGTTGTAAAGAAAAATTTAGTAAGAAGTCTGAGCTTGTAGATCTCAAGTTGAATTAACTAACATCTGTTTTCTGCTTCTGGGAATAAAGATTTGTTGTTTTTACAATATTAAGTTCCTTATGAACTTCCATTCCTATTAGTGTTTTTATATATAGAAGCAAATGACCTCCCTAAAATTTTTACTGTAACATCCTTGGATGAAATATGACAAACTCAGAGGTAATGATTGACTATCAAGTAGGCAGTTAAAATCATTGCTCTCTTTCCTTTACTGACAACTCAAAGGAAGGAAAATGTGTAACTTCTACAATCAACTTATCATAAGAACATTCAGGAGTCTTCTCAATGTACTGCAATCTGTATTCTAAATCATGTCAAGCTGAAGAGCTCAGGTTCAATTCCAGTTTTGTTAGCAACATGAGGGCAGATTTAAATACTTGCTTTTTTTATGATGAATTTTGCCAAACAAAGTATTCACTGCACTGCCACTCCCACTTTATTCTTTCTGCAATACTACAGGGGGAAAAAAAATCCAATAAATTTTTCATTTAACAAGAGATTGTTAAATTAACCTGATTTTAGCATCAAACATACATGAGCAGACAGTGTCCACCATTCTTTCATAAGAAGAATATCATGCTACTAAATGTTAGTGAGATGGATTTTGTTCTCCCCTGCACAAATCCAAAATCTACCATAGGCTTTAGACTTGAAAGCTTTACAGTAGTGTTAGTAATTATCAGGACATGGTACTGTAGAGTACTAACTCTCCAGCTGACTTTGTGCATGTCAGTTCTGAATTCTTCCTTGGGTGCTCCATGTGTCCAGATTATTCTGCATGTAACCCCAGTATTACTTCTATCTGATGTGCAAGCTCTTCTGTAACTCTCCAAGAGATTTTAAGTTACTTCTGCTGCCAGCTGTGTTTTCCTTTAGTAATGGGCAGCTCAAGGCTGTTTTGATTCATTTTGGTGAGTAGTCAGATCTTTGCCAAGATCTCCATAGCTAATACATGTCATCTTGTGTATAGCTTGGTGAGAGATGGGGAAACATTCAGGTAAACATGAAGAACTCTTGGCTATCTTTCTTTAATCATCATCTCCCAAAAGTGGGTATCTTATAAAAGAGCCTCAGGTGCAATTGTGGGATATGGAGAGTTGTCTTACCACATCCCAATGTACAAAACCAGTTTGCCATGGTTAAGTTGTTGAGTATATGGGGAGAAGTTGCCTTAAAGGAGTTTCCCAATTAGATGGATTGAGCTATACTGAAATATGATGGCATGACTGTAATCATAGAACTGTTTAGGTTGGAAAAGACCTCTAAGATCATTGAGTCCAACCATTACCCAGCACTGCCAAATCCACCACTAAACTATGTCCTTAAGTACCACATCTGCACGTCTTTTAAACACCTGAAGGGATGGTGACTCAACCCCTTCTCTAGGCAGCCTGTTCCAATGCTTGACCACCCTTTTGGTGAAGAAATTTTTTCTAAAATCCAATCTAACCTCCCCTGGCACAACTGTACACCATTTCCTCTTGTCCTCTTGCTGTTAACATGGGAGAAGAGACCAACCCCCACCTCACTACAACCTCTTTTCAGGAAGTAGAGAGAGATAAGGTCTCTCCTCAGCCTCTTCTTCTCCAGACTAAACAACCCCAGTTCCCTCAGCTGCTCTTCATAAGACTTGTGCTCCAGACCCTTCCCCAGCTCCATTGCCCTTCTCTGGACAAACTCCAGCACCTCAATGTCTGTCTTGTAGTGAGGGGCCCAAAACTGAACACAGTGCTCAAGGTGTGGCCTCACTACTGTCAGGTACAGAGAGACAATCACTTCCCGAGTCCTGCTGGCCGCACTATTGCTAATACAAGAAGGTATGGCACTGGCCTTCTTGGCCACCTGGGCACACCGATGGCTCATGTTAAGCCAGCTGTCAACCAGCACCTCCAAGTCCTTTTCCACTGGGCAGCTTTCCAGCCTCTGTTCCCTAAGCCTGCAGCATTGTGTGGGATTGTTGTGATCCAAGTGCAGGACCCAGCATTTCATGTTGTTGAACCTCATACAGTTAGCTAGACCCATTGATTCAGCCTGTCCAGATCCTACTGCAGAGCCTTCCTACCCTCCAGCAGATCAACATCCCACCCAACTTGGTGTCATGTAATACATTCTGTTTTCTAAGCTCCTGCAAACTTAATTTTAAGCCAAGTAGGAAGCCCTATGCCAGCTAAATGATTAGGAAAATTATTAGAAGCAGCAGCTTTTGTGCTGCCTTATTGTTATAGTGGTATTGAGTAGCTGAAGCTGCTTGAATGGTTGCAGCATCTCCCAGATGAAGCCCTGCATTTGGGCATAAACAATTTGAAATTAATTTAGTGTTGAGAGCTGTTTATTTGGAGGTTAGCCTCATGTTTGCTCTCAGCCATGAAAGTTTATATAGCACAAGATATATTATTTACCCTAGTGAAACCTATTGCATGTTCTCACAATCAATTGCTTGGTTAGAATTGTTCTTTTCTGAGTCAGAATGCCTTGCACTCAAATGTATGGTTCTGTGTGTATTTTTTTGGGAAAGGTATGAACCACCATTACTAAAGTACACTAGAAGACGGAGAAATTGTTTCTAAATTTAACCACCCTAATTGTTTTCTCCGTTCTCCACTGACAAACCCTTCTACAGTATCCAAAACTTTAAGCTTAAATTGTAAATTATGACTGTGGAGGAACAAATTCAAAGTCATAACTGCTGTGGCTTAAGTGTTACGACCAAAGCAGTGGAATGAAAACCATCATTGTAGCCAGGTAGAAACTGTTCCCACTTTAGCTGTTAAATTCTTAGAGAAAAAAAAATAAAAGGCATTAAATTTATTAGCATGATGCTGTGTGTGTAAGGAATAAACTGTAACTGAGCATTCATTCATAATGTATAAGCGTATGTGAATGGCTCTGCTGAATTATTTAAGCTTTGCAATTCTTGTGTTCAAGGAATGCTTGTTTCTCACTGTGAAAGTGATCAGTCTTCTGTGCAATTTAAAGTAGATCAAAAGTTATTTTCTGTGTTTTTATCTGTGTTCAACCAGAACAATGGCTTAATTTTATCACTAGTGTTTTTGGAACATAGGAATATAATTTTTTTTCTGAAATTGCTTATTTTTTTCCCCTCTCTCATGGGAAAATCGAGTATCATGACACCTGCATGTGTGCATCCTTCCTCCAGACCCTCTAAACATTCTTTTCTGGTATCAGGTACTTCTGCTTGGTTGCAGAGCTGCTGTAAAGCCTATATCATCTACTGTTTTCAAATCCTTTTACACTGAGTAGTTTTGTTTATTCCAAAATGGTTTTAACTTTTGTGTGCAAAATAGATATTGAGAATACAAAACATTCTCTTCAATTTGGAGTAGAATAGTACACCACTTTTAAGTACATGTATATATAGTGGAACCTTTTTATGCAAAACCATCTCAAAGTGCTTTATAAATCTCCTCAAAAATTCTAACTCCCTTTCATAGAAAAGAGGACTTTTATTCTTTGGGGTTTTAAGTTATGGATGAAGACAAGGCACTGATTAAATGTAGAATAAATACACTACCACCTAAGTAAAATTTAGGTGAGATTATAGAAGTATGCTCTAAAGAGTTCCAAGTGGAGTGAGAAGGAAAAATATATATATATAGTTACATAAAAAAGTAAGTGGGAATGATGTGAAAACACTTGATAGGTTGCTTGGGTCCATAACCACATAGCTAGTATGAAAACTGGTCAGCTTTCCATTTCAAGACAAGATTGAATAAAATTAACAGAGGGTAGTGGTTCCCTATAGTGAAGGAAAGAATTAAACATTCCATAGAGAAATCATTCTAAGCAATAACAAAGGAGCTTTCTCCATAGATCTGTTTAGT